TCTTCACCCCCATTTTCCCCCCCTGCAGCCTTCCAGATCCTGCAGCCACAGGGAGGAACAGGGCTGGGATGGGACATACATCAGTCTTATCCATCTTCCCCTGCTGTGGCCTGAGCCCTCTCCCTCCCTGCTCACATCAGAGGGGATTTCTCATTAGTGGCAACTCAGTCTGCCAGCCACTGCTGACAGTGTCACGTGTATTCTATCCATGACCTGGAAAGTTTCCATGGGCACCACTTTTAGGGGATGTCCGTGGATCTTCATCGTTAGTCCTGGGGCACCAGGGGAAAGGACAGGTAATAAGATCAATCCTTATTAGATCAATCCTCGATCTGCAGAGGAGAATGGCAACCTGAAGGACACTATAGCATCTGTGGGGCACGATGGTGGCATTTCTGAACCAAGATTTGTCTAAAATACTTCTTTTCATTTTAAAAAGGGTGAATTAGGAATGAAAGGCCCTCTGCTAGCTGAGTGCAAGGCAGTCTGCATGCTGGTTGTTCCTGTCCTGAAGAAAAGTCTGTGCTTGGGTTTTGTTCGGTTTCTGAGCAAACACACACCAATTCCAGCCACTTTCCCAGCAGGTTTATCTCTGTCCTATCAGTTTCTAGTGCATCACACACATCTTCCCTAAAGCTGAAGGAATTGCAGCTGGGGAAGGAGAGCCCTGGACCATCCCGGCACCTGCAGAGTACCGGTGTGGGGATGCAGGGAGACCTCCATGTGTGGAGGGGAGTGGAGCAGCAGAGCATTCACTGATGGGACATTCGTGAGCTGTTGCATCACTGCAGTGATGGGATGGCAGCTGAGCAAGGGTGAAAAAGCCTTCTCCAGGCCATGGAGCCCCATGGCCCAGCCCAGTGGGGAAGCCTGGGCAGATGATGCTGCTGACTCTGCTCCACCACCAGCAGTGTGAGCCTGTGGAGCCAAGGGAGGAGTGAAGCCGTGGCTGATGCTGAGGGACCAGCACGGGCCAAAAGGTGGAGGTGGAGGGTTCACCACCAGGCCCTGGGGTGAGGTTGAGGAATGCCCTAATGACAGCACAGTTGTGGAAACTGGAAGCTCTCCACTGCCCTATAGCTAAAGAAACAGGCTCTGCATCAGGATGAGAGACAGGACACTGATCCCAAGGGAAAAAGAACAACAAACTCTTGCTGATACTAGTCCAGCTTCTTGAGTATAAACGTGTGTCTTCTGCTGATCTGCTGATCAGATGATGCAAATTGGCGGCTTTAACCTGCCAGAGGGGAGATTGAGATGAGCTCTGAGGCAGAAGCTCTTCCCTGTGAGGGTGCTGAGGCGCTGGCACAGGGTGCCCAGAGGAGCTGTGGCTGCCCCATCCCTGGCAGTGTTCAAGGCCAGGTTGGACACAGGGGCTTGGAGCAACCTGCTCTAGTGGAAGGTGTCCCTGCCCGGGGCAGGGGTTGGAGCTGGAGGAGCTTTAAGGTTCTTTCCAACACAAAACCAGACCGGGATTCTATGAAGATCTGGC